AAGGTTTAATATAAGTAAATTTCAAACTTTACACAAAAGCAATGTTTCAAGAAGAAATAAAAGCAATTTTTCAGAGGTACGTCTCATTCTGGCCTTCCAGATATAAATATCAAAAGAGTTAAATTATTAGTTTTATTATTTTTGCACTTTAATCTTAGATAAAAAACATAAATTGTTACTCAACTGATAAATCTTTATTAAAGTACAAGGTAATTTATGACATGGTTATTTTATTAACTAGGCTATTAGATATTTTGAGACTATTGACTCAGTTTTGTGCAAAAATTAATAATATGACGGTATGATTGAAATAAAACTTAAACCCCATTTAATAATGTTGGTAATAAAATAATTTAAAAACCTGATTTATCAAGTTCAATGCTGTCTGATTTTATTAATTTATTAATATAACTTTATTTATCAAATTACATAATTGTGACTGTATGTTACTGTGCAATTAAGTATTCTACTTATTATGAGTTAAAGTAATTGACATTTTTCAAATAAAAAATACTGTATACGTCAATATACAAATAAGATCTAACATGAAAATGTTTTTTGAAATCATTTGTACCAACATATACAAATAATTAGAAACAGTAATTGAACATAAAACTCAAACTGAAAAATATGATAAAACTTCAGTAAATAAAACTTTAATATATTTACAATTTCAAATTGTTGCATTGTATCAGTAAAATGAACAAGCGATTGCAAAAGCAATTATCTTACAGATAAATTGTCATTTTATTTGTAATAATTAAGTTCTGAATATTCCACTATAAAAGCAAATACTATTTTATAATTTTCTAATTAATTAATCATGGGATTCCTAAACATAAAAAATTGTACCGGTTATGACAGATATGTTTATACTGCCATTCTGTTTGGTAGTGGTATCTCATATGTATGTATCAATTGATGAGTATGCTTACAAAATAGTGAAGTAATTAATATAAAATTAAATAACCCAGGGTATGGTATATTCGGTGTACGCGCCCATAATGGTAGACATGAAGTATATCCTGAATACGTCAATGAAATGGATCTCACTTTTTGGTACCTTTGAGACCACGGGATTTATATTGGGAACTTTCAGTAATTAATTAATTAATCTATAATAAAATATATTACATTTAACTAATATGTTATATGTTATAAAATTTGCTCACATTTATGAACAGTCGCCCTATTATTCAAATACCTGAACAGACAGATAACGTTTGCCATATTTTTTACATTCCTCACCATCGCATCGGCTGTCATACCCCTATCCCCATACATATGGGTGCTATACCTATGTGCGTTTACCATCGGCCTGGGAGCTGCTGTTTACGGTAGTGCCACCACAGTGTGGACAGTGGAGTTGGGAAGAGGTAGTAAGGTTCCTATAGTGCAGGTGTTTGAGTTATCCTTTGGTATCGGCGCTATTCTGTCGACAATGGCTTTAAAGCCATACCTAATCGGCGAACCCTCGCAGACAAAGAGTCTGAAAGTATATTCAGACAATGAGTTAGTGCTTGATGTGAACGATGTGACCGAAAGAAGGTCCCGGCTTATGTACCCCACTATGCTTATTGGAGCATGCATCATTACTAGTAAGTAGTTATTATAATTGTTTATTCGAGATTCTAATTAACTTGTAAATAGAAATTAATAATTATAGTTAAATAATGTATAATTTGTTTGCAGTTCCGATCGCATTGTTTATCATGTATTTCCTTAAGCCATACAAAGAGCCTAAAGTTAAAGGGGAGGACAACACAGATACTGAAGTCGAGACACAAGACACTCATTATGACAACAATAATAATAATAATGACGTGATTTCAAAGAAGTTGTTTAACAGGAAAGAGACTCCGAGAAAGACAATGAGATTACTGTTTGCCTTAGAGTTTGCATTTTATTTAGTGTTTGAGACGACTTTTAATAAGTTTTCGGTCACTTATTTCCAGTACTCACCGCTCAAACTGACCGCTGAAAAGGCCACTGAGCTATACACCGTAGCCATGAGTGTCTATACTGCGGGACTGGTACTTAACATATTATATCCGT